CGCCGAGCCGTACAGCGGCTGCAGCGAGATCACCAACGACGAGTACGTGCGCGGCCACATCGCTCTGCTGCAGAGGGGCCAGTGCATGTTCGCCGAGAAGGCCCGGCACATCCAGAAGGCCGGCGCCATCGGAGGCATCGTCGTCGGTGGGTGCGCAGGGCCGACCGGGACGCGACGAGGAAGATGACCCCCGTTGATGCGATTAGCCGGCCATTAAATGGATTACCTCCAAGACAGACAGTCAGATAAGTCGTGTGTGATGAGCTGTTAATTGGATTTCTGCTGTGTCGTACTTGCGGACACTTGTTTTCCACAACATCAACAACAACCACCACCAACGCCCTTGTTGCCATGACAAGAAACAATGAAACATCAATTAATTGCGCGGAATGAGTACAAATTTTTCATTGTTTTTCAGAGCCGTAAAAAAAACTAACAAAAAAAAAACCCCAAAACACTTCCTCAAATGTTATCCAAGTATGCGATGGAATAATCGGTTGGATCGGAAGAATTCCAAAAAAGGCTTGTAGGTGCCTTTAGATGCCACACGATGGCAGCAAAGCACTGATAAAGAAGACTTGGCTTCCATGTTGATTGTTTGTCACTGGCGTGTAACAACACAGGCAAAGGATAATCAGCAAAGCTTCAGCACCACACATCTAACATGTACGCAACCGTGAACCCATGTTACATAATACCGCAATTTTAGCCACATCACAACTTGTGATTCACGAGCATCCGTTTAAGAAGGGACAAGGCAGAAGAAGAAAAAATATTGAAGTCTTTATGCCGATATACTGTCGTCATCCACATTTCCAAACGCAACTGTAGTTTAATGGCCTATTTTCGCCCACTAAAACAACCGATTTCGGTTCGCTGCGTTTTGTAGTTAGATTCCGTAATCCCCGTTACAGTTCATTGCGTGTTCAAGCTGACGTGACATCACACGCAGGCGAACAAGCGTTCGCCGTTGCGTTTTACAACGAGGGTCCAAGTCATGAAACTAGTTCCACATGAAAACAAAGGTTTAGATCGATAGGCAAATGATCACATCACAGTAGACTGCCACAGCTATGAGGAGCTGGACTCAGCGAGAAACTAAAACATCATTTCACATTCCAAGTTGCACGAGGAGCATTTTGGGATAAGTTTTCAGCCATATCTTCTCTCAAATTTGAGAAGCGGAGGGTGAGGGGGGGGGGGTTCACTCAAATTCATATCAGGGCTTACTAACTCATGGATATTCAGAATGCGTCAAAAAGTTCAAATTCCTTGTGTGGCAGACGACAACGAAGGAAGCAGCAGCGACACGGCGCCTCTCTTCCAGAT